TCTTTAGACAATGACTATTGCTACTGGACTCCCCAGTCATCAGAATATCCTTCTCGTGTTTACCCTGTCTAATCTTGTTAGAATTTTATAGGATTCTATGAGAGTTCGAAAGTAAGCTTGCAGGGACCATAAAAACTGACACTAAGAGTTTTGATAGGTACGTGAAGAAAAAGAGATTGGTAAAGACAAATGTAGGTCTGCTACAGTCAGAAACAGGGGAATGTATAATGGGGAACAAAGAAATGGCTGAGGAACTGAATACACACTTTGGTTCTGTCTTCACAAAATCAGATACCAAAATTGTTGGCAGATGCAAGATTTAGTGAGAGGGAAGAACTGAGGGAGATCAACACTAGTAGAAAAATGGTGCTGGGAAAATTGTTGGGGTTGAAGGCTGATAAATTCCCACGGCCAGATAATCTACACCCCGGAGTATTTAAGGAAGTAGCTCTAGAAATAGTGGATACATTGGTGGTCATCTTCCAGGATTCTAATAGACTCTCGAACAGTCCCTGCAGATTGGAGGGTGACTAATGTCACTCCAATATTCAAAAAGGGAGTTAGAGAGAAAACAGGGAATTACAGACTGGACAGCCTAACATCAGTAGTGAGGAAAATTTTCAAATCCACTGTCAAGGATTTTATAGCAGAGCATTTAGAAAGCAGTGACAGGATCAGACAGAGCCAGTATGGATTTTTGAAAGGGAAATCATGATTGACAAATCTTTTGGAATTCTATGAAGATGAAACGAGTAGAGTTGACAAGGAGGAGCCAGTCAATGTAATATATTTGGACGTCCAGGAAGTGTTTGTCAAAGTCCCACATAAGAGTTTAATGTGCAAGATTAAAGCACATAGGATTGAGGGAAGTGTATTGAGATGGACAGGAAACTAGTTGGCAGAGAGGAAACAAAGAGTTGAAATTAATGGGTCCTTTTCAAATCAGCTTGCAGCAACTGGTGAGGTGCCAGTGGGATCGGTGCTGGGACCCCAGCTATTCACAATATATATTAATGATTTGGATGAGGAACAAAATGTAACATCTCCAAGTTTGCAAATGATACCAAATTGGGTGGGAGGGTGAACTGTGACGAGGATGCAAAGATCCTTCAGCATGATCTCGACAGGTTCAGCGAGTGGGCAAATCAATGGCAGATGCAGTATAATTTGGATAAATGTTGAGGTTATTCACTTCGGAAGCAAAAACAAGGCGGCAGACTATTACCTTAAAAGGCTGTAAATTGGGAGAGGTGAGCGTGCAGCGGGACCTGGGCATCCTTGTGCACCAGTTGCTGAAGGTAAGCATACATGTGCAGCAGGCGGTAAAGAAGGCAAATGGTATGTTGGCCTGCATTGTGAGGGGTTTTGAGTACAGGAGCAGGGATGTGTTGTTGCAGTTATACAGGGCCTTGGTAAGACTGCACCTAGAATATTGTGTACAGTTTTGGTCTCCTTTTCTGAGAAAGGATGCTCTTGCTCTCGCTCTCGAGGCAGTGCAGCGAAGGTTAACCAGGCCAATTCTGGGCTTCACAGGTCTGACGTATGAGGAGTGATTGACTAGGTTGGGATTATTTTTGCCAGAACAGACGAATGAGGGGAGATCTCACAGAGACTTATAAAATTCTAACAGGACTGGACAGGGTACATGCAGGGGGGATGTTCTGGATGGTGGGTGTGTCCAGAACCAGGGGTCACAGTATGAGGATTCGGGGTAGATGATTTATGATGGAGATGAGGAGACATTTCTTCACCCAAAGAGTGGTGAGTCTATGGAATTCATTACCACAGGAAGCAGTTGATGCCAAATCATTGAATGAATTCAAGAGGCGACTAGAAATAGCACATGGGGCGAATGGGATCAAAGGTTATGGGGAGAAAGCAGGATTAGGCTATTCAATAGGACAATTAGCCATGATCGTGAAGAATGGCAGAGCAGGCTCGAAGGCGTGAATGGGCCTCCTCCTGCTCCTATCTTCTATGTTTCTTCTAACTTTAGTGAATACAAGAAGATAAGAACTAGGAACAGGAGTAAGCAATTCAGTCCCTCAAGCCTGGTTCGCCATTTGATACAATCGTGGCTGATCTCATCTCGGCCTCAACTCCACTTTCCTGCTTGTTCTTCATAACCATTCAACCCATTATTAATTAAAAATATACTCCTCTTAAATTTACTCAATGTCCCAGCATTCACCACTTGGGGGTAGTGAATTCCACGGATTCACAATCCTACGAGAGAAGTAATTTCCCTTAATCTCTGCTTTAAATCTGCTACATCTTATCCTAAAACTATGACCTCTTGTTTTAGAGTGCTTCATAACGAAACAACATTTATACATCTACTTTGTCAATCCCCTTTAGCATCTTATATACCTCAATTAGATCTCCTCTAAATTCTTCTAAACTCGAGAGTATAAGCATAAACTACTCATTCTCTCTTAAGACAAACACCTCAGTTGTGGAATCAATCTAGTGAACATCCTCTGGAGTGCCTCCAATACATATACATCACTCAAGTAAGGGGGCCAAAATTATACATAATTCTCCAGGTCCTAAAGAGTCCATACTATTTTCATATATTAGTTCTACCATTCCAGGAAACAATCTGTAAACCTTTGGTGCACTTCCTCAAGCAAGAACATCTTGCATCAGATGAGGAGATCAAAACTGCGCACACTACTCCAGGCGTGGTCTCAACAAGATGCTGTAAAACTGCAGCAAGATATCCGTGCTCCCATATTCAAGTGCTCTTGCTTTGAAGGTCAACATATCATTTGTCTACTTCATCGCCCGCTGCACCTGCATGCTTACTTTCAGCAATTGGTGTACAAGGACACCCGATCAGCCTCCTGATTTTGCTACCAAAGTGGTTAAGCTTACATTTATTCACATAATGTTTCATCTACCAGCTGCTCAGGACTGGTGTGACACTATGCCATCAGGACTGGCATGAGAAATCACACCTGCTGGAGTTGGGAGGACTAAGATTGAACGTAATACTACATTTGTGTGGGGAATGATGTCTTTGCAGCTTTGTGTAAAGTATCTTTATTTTACTGACCACTTACTAAGCAAAATTCATCTTTTTGTATGGTGATGCCTACCTAATTATATGTTGATTTCGGGTTTGACTGTTGCAGGGTAAATTTGAAAAAGTGAAAAGTTGTCCAGCAATTTCTTTTGGAGTTAATTGTGGATTACTTTCTTTTCAGATTATTAGTCTTTTATGGGTATTGCAAATAAGCCAAACCACAGGACTGGAGCACCAGGTCTAGGGTAGCACTATCTTACAATACTCAAGTGTTTTTGCACCAACCGAAGGCAATGTTTCAAATGAAACATGCGGTAGCCTGTTGAAGTTTTATTTCCTGTCAAGATAATATAGTCACTGGCACCCCTAATTGCTCGAGAAGGCAGTGATGCACTATTACAATTATATGGTATAGGTGCTTTTAAAGAAGTAGCTCCAGGCATTTTGATTCAGTCATCTTGAAAAAACAAAAAAAAACATCACAATACATTTCCAAGTCAGGTTCATGAAAGACTTGTTGGGGAACCAATAAATGATAGCGTTTCCATGAGGTTGCTGTGCTGGCTCTTCCAGATTTGTAGGGGTCAAATGTTTACAATGCATTTTACAAGAAGCCTTGGTGAGTTGCTGCATTGTACCTTCTAACCACTGAAACCAAAGCATACTTATGGAGAAGGCAGTGAAATGCTTAAGGAAATGAACACAGTGCCTTCAAAATAGTACCTGAAGAGTATAGTGCTTCGAGATTGTCAATGGAGCCATACTTATCCAGGCACTAGAGAACATTACATTACACTCTTGATTTGTGCCTTTTCTTTTCCAAGTTTTTTTCTCAAATTTATTTGATAGTTTACACAAATCAGATTTACTATTTTTGTGAACAGTGGCAACATGTGAATGGTTGCCTTTAGCCAGTCTGTTCCTGTGCTCTGAGGAACCTGGACTTCTTTTGAGCAATACAATTCTTTCTTTGTACCAATGACATTTTAGGACAGGTCCACCTCTTTTTTTTGACTTCTCTCCGGCTTCTTCTCATGAACAGGGTTTTCTCTAACAGCAACATGAGCTTTCTTGTACAAATCTTCTATTGTGTCTGCTGTGACTTCATGCTTGATGTACTGAGAACATTGTTTTTTAAAGTAAGCATAGATGGTGGACAGGCTTTGGTGCCAGGTAGTAAGTAACTAACATGAGCATAAAAATTCCTATAGCACTCAGGGAGCTCTTCTAGCAGTCTGGTCAATGTTAATTTACTTAAGAGTCATATAGCACGGAAACAGGCCTTCGGTCCAGCTTGTCCACGCTGACCAGGTTCCCAAACTAAACTAGCCCCACTTGCCTGCGTTTGGTCCATATCTCTCCAAATCTTTCCTATTCACGTACTTATCCAAATGTCTTTTAAACGTTGTAACAGTTCCTGCATCCATCACTTCCTCTGGCAGTTCATTCCATACACTAACCACTGTATAAAAAAGTTGCTCCTCATGTCCCCTTTAAATCTTTCTCCTCTCACCTTGAAAATATGACCCCGAGTTTTGAACTCCCCCCACCTTAGAAAAAAGATCTTTGCTATTCACCTTACCTATGCCCCTCATGATTTTATAGACCTCTATAAGGTCACCCTTCAACCTCCTAAACTTCAGCGAATAAAGTCCTGGCCTATTCAGGCTATTTTTACAACTCAAACCCTCCAATCCTGGCAAGATCCTGGCAGATCTTTTCCAAACCCTTGCCAATTTAATAATATCCTTCCTATACTTAACCTACAACAATACAGATTATCTAATAACTGATCTCACATGCCTATTGGGCACCAAGTGGCTAGATATTTGTCTGTAAAATAACAATGACTACAAAGTTAATGTACTAATTGTAAAGCATTTTGGAATGCACCATGATCATAAATACAAGATATTTCTTACATTTATCATCAGTCACTCAAACAAAACAATTTGATTTAAAATGAACTTACCCCCATTCCACAACATGAGATTCGTAATCCCAGTATTCTCTTGGTTTGTGTGTGTTTACATCAGTGTAAACTCTGGCCCTGCTTGGCACAGGTCCTGCCATGTCTAATAGGAGGCCAGAGGGGAGCTCAGAAGCAGATGTTGAGTGGCTCAGCAGCCAGGGGGCAGATAATTATCTTCAGTTCTAACAATCAGCAGAGTGGGAAGGGTCTTTTGTGGTTCACTCTGTTTTAAAAAAAAGCACAGATGTGATAACTATTTTGACAAAACCAAAATGTTTGCCCCAAGAAGGTAAACTCATATGTCTAATACCAACCCAGAATACACTCAAAGCACGAGCTAAAGCATTTAAAGTTTCAAATCAATGAGCGGTTGAAAAAAATCATTCAACTGGATTATGAGTAGTGCAATTTACTAGTGTGACGGGATTGAATTTACTGGCCAGTACACTTGCACTGTGCAGTTTTGACTGAAAAAATTCCTATTTTCCTGAACCTCTATAATGATTCAAACTTTCAATGCAGCTAAACATTATTGTAAAAACTTTGACTGCTTTAAAACTATATTTGTTGTGCTTAAAACTATCAACTTGGCTTTTCATAGCACAAGTCCAAACCCTTCCAAGGTGACACCACTAGACTCCATTCGGCTTCCCACATTCCGAATAAATTACAGTAGAAAACAAAATGCAACAGATTTAAGACATGGCTTTAATACAGTGTGCATGTAACTCTTATAAAAGAAATTTCATACTATATTAGGCTAATCAAGGCCAATATAAAGTGACTACAACAGCAGTCCACAAGCAAAGCTTGAAATGTACAAAACTAGACTTTAATGCCTAGGTAATAAATTGAAAATACTGACGACTGGAGGATTTTCTTTCAAGGACGAGAGAACAATGAAACAAGATTAGTAAAAAAGATGGTTGTTTTCTTTAATAATTATGTGGAAATTATAGCCTGTAGATTTCAAGGGAATACAGCGCTTGGTCACCAAATAGCACTGAGCCTATCATATGTAAGCCTGTCTTTGTAACTTGGGAGGAAACAGTTTCCAGCGAAACCTTCACATTCAAAGACTAGAAACAAGGCACTAGGCTAGACTTGACAACATTTATATTTATTTTCCAAGGCCTGTTTTTACTCAGGGACAACATTGTGTAGCTTTCTCAGAGTGAGAAGGTTTGACTCTGCGAAGTCTTTGGTGGAAGAATAACTAGAAATGTTGGTTTAAAAGAAATACAGCTGCAATAAAAATATGAATGTAACTACAAATGTTTTGCTATCTCTGCCAGTTTTAAAGCAAGTCACAGAAAATGAATGCGTTATTCTGGTCTGAGAAATTTGAAATCAGCCCCAACTGTAACAGCAACTCCATATTTACATGAATAAAATTGTGAATGAAGTAATTCTTGAAAATTTCATTACATCAATTTCATTTCAAGCAACAGCCAGAGGCAAAGCACCATTTTCAAGCACGGCAACTGAATTTTGGTTTTCCTTTGCAGAACAGAATATAAAAGATCTCAGATCAGACGATTTCGGTTTCTGAAAAACACGTTTTGCAAGATTAAAAAATCATATCTGTGCAGGACAGAGTCACAGATCAATGAAATGGTGGCAGACTTTCTAAACGCTGCACAGAATAACTGATTACTGAACAGGAAATTAAACCTTGCAAATTTCAACACAACAACTAAAGCACTTGCGTGTGAAAAAAAACAATTCAAGTACTTAGCATCCCCCCAGTACTATTGAAGCATCATGCAAGAAGCAGGGGAACAGGACAACAGTAGGAGAGATGTGCACAATAGGTAATGGAATCATGAATTCACAGCATAGAAGGACTTTTAGCCCTTGTGTCTCTATTGGTTACGCGCTAAAGAGCAATACAATTGGTTCTCACCCTCCACCCTCTTGCCATAACCCTGCAGATCTGTCCATTTCACGTATGTCTAATTCCTTCTTGAACTGTGCCACTGTATCTGAATTTCATATTTTGACAGTTCACCACTTCGAAAAGATTGCTAACTCCTTTATTTTAATAATTATCTTAAATGTGCATCTTCCAGATAGTATACTAATTCACCAAACATGGAAATAACTCCTCTTTATCCTTTCAAGATCCCTCAATTTTGAAAAACTAATTTTTTTTTCCCCTTAACGTTTCACAGTCCAAAAGTAATCCCAGTTTTTGTAGCCTCTTTCCTAATCAACACTTCACATCCCTAATATCATTCTGGTAAATCTCCTTTGCACCCTCCCCAAAGCCTTAACATTACTAACATAGAAGCATAAAGACAGAAAATAGGAGTGGGTCACGTGGCCCTTCAAGCCTACTGTGTCATTATGATCATGACTGGCAAAGCAATTCAATAGCCTATCCCTGCTTTTCTCCCATATCCTTTGATTCTTTTAGCTCCAAGTGCTACATCTAACTCATTCCTGAAATCATACCATGTTTTGGCCTCAACTGCTTTCTGTGGTGGCATAGTCCACAGGTCACCAGTCTCTCAGTGAAGAAATTCCTTATCTCAGTATTAAATTCTTTACACCTTATCCTTAAGACTGTGACGCCTGGTTCTGAATTACCCGGTCATCATGAACATCCTTCCTGCATGATTTAATTCTACATAACATTCGAAGCATTAAAAAGTTTTGAGATTATTTCCTGGCTGTTCTGCTCCATGTCTCCATAAAGCCAAAGATCCTAAAAGAATTTCAGAATCACAGAACTGTTACAGTGTGGCTGGAGTCATTCAATCTATCGTGCCCACATTGGCCCTGGGTAGAACAAATCTCCTGCCATTTTCACATATTCCTGCGCACCATTTACATCCATTATCCTCCCGAATGCCTCAATTGAAACTGCCGCCACCAAACTTTCAAACATTGCATTCCATACCCCAAGTACATGCTGTGTGAAAAAAGTTTTCCTCACATCAACCTCGCTTTGTTTGCACTCACTTTAAATCTATGCGCTCTTGTTCTTGTCCTTTTCACAAGGAGGAACAATTATTCCTTATCTGTATCCAGCCCACCCATGATTTTGAAAACCTCTATCAAATCTCCTCTCAGCCGCCTTCCCTCCAAGGAGAACAGTCCCAACGTCTTCAATTTGTCCTCATAACTGACATTTCTCATTCCTGAAACCATTCTTGCAAATTGCTTCTGCACTCTCTCCAATGCATTCACATCTTTCCTAAAATGTGGTGTTCACAATGGTACAGAATACAATTTTTTTAAAATCGAAAAAGGCCTTATCAACTTATGGTGCCAGCTTGAAACATTTGCAGATCTTAGCTCCAGATTTTTCTGTTGTTGGGAATAGAAGCAGGCCATTTAGCAGGCCTGGAACCTGTTCCATACCATCTAATGAGATCATGTTTGACTTCCAAAGAGACTCTAAATGGCTGCATTTGGACCAAATCTTCATATGTTTGGTTAACAAAAATCTATCGTACATAGAATTTTTAAAATATATTAATTCAGATGATGTGGGCATCACTGGCTAGGTCAGCATTTATCATCCATACCTAATTGCCAAGTAGATAGTTAACAGTCAATCACATGGCTGTGAGTCTGTAGTCACATGTTGAAGTCAGTCACAGATGAAGTAAGGATGCAGATTTCAGAGAGTCAGATGGGTTTTTACATAAATCGACAGTGGTTACATGGTCGCCATTAGGCTAGCATTTTAATTCCAGACTTTTACTCAATTCAAATTTTACCACCTGCCATGATGAGACCTCAAACCCACATCCCTGGAATATTAACCTGGAGTTCTCAATTACTAGCTCAGCAACACTAACATTAGTCCAGCACCTGCCCTAAGTCAAGCGTTAACTGCCAGTTGATAAAGTGAGTTCTTAATGTCTACTACATTGTGTGTGTAGCTGTGTTTCCTAATTACATTCTTGAATGATCTGGTTCTAATTTGTGGACTGTACATCCAAATCCTAGACTCACTTACCAGCAGAAATAGTTTCCCTCTATCAGCCTTGTTTCTCATAACTTTTATAACTCTGACATTCCTTAATCTTTCAAAGTTCTAAACTGAAAACACAACTCTAGTTTATGTAATCTCACTTCACGATTTAACTCTTTAGATACAGGTATCATCCTGGTAAACCTATGCTTCATTCCTCCCAGGGCAAATATAAGCTTCCCAAGGTATGGTGTCCATAACTTACTCTCAGAACTTGTGGCTTCATGAACAAGAATTTTGTATAGCTGATGTTCCTGCAAATGCTCAAAAACTATTTAATTGTAACAAAGCTTGAATTTAGGTGTCCAGTGTTCCAAGGCACCATGACATACACTAGCATAGAATGAAGCATACACTACTCAGACCTGCTGAGCTTTTCCTGTAACTTTGCTTTTGTACTCTAGCTTATTATGGCCCTGATGTTTCTTCTTATGCGAGATTCTAGACGTTGGGGTCAAAGTTTACAAATAAGGGTCGCTCATTTTAGACAGATGAGGAAAATAATTTCAGAGGATTAAGTCTGTTTGAAACTGCATTCCTTAAAAAGGCAGAAGGTGCAGAATCTAGATTGCTTTTTTAAGACAGAGTAAGATAGACTTGCTCGCCGAGCCGGTGTGTTAGATCGAAGAGGTTTCATCACCCTGCCAGGTAACATTGTCAGTGCGCCTCTGGTCAAGCGTTGGTGTTCTGTCCCACTAGTTATTTATATGCCTTAGGTTGCTGGGGTGCTTGGCATTACCTCCGTTTCTCTTTTTCAGTGGTTTATATATCAGGTTCAGTTCAATGCGTTTGTTGATGGAGTTCTGGTTGGAATGCCAGTTCTCCAGAAATTCCCTGACATGTCTCTGTTTGTCTTGTGCTATTAAGGATGTGCTGTCCCAGTCAAATTCTTGTCCTTATCTGTCTGTTGTATTTAGATCAGTGAGAATTGGTCACGTCTCTTGGTGACTAGTTGGTGTTCGTGTATCCTTGTTAGTTTTCTTCCAGTTTGGCCTATGTAATGTTTCTTTACAGTCCTTGCATGGTATTTTGTACATAACGTTAGTTTTACTGGTTGTAGGTATGGGATCCTTTATGTTCATCAGTAGCTGTCACAGGGTGGTTGTTGGTTTGTGGGCTACCCTGACACCTAGGGGTCGGAGTAGTCCTGTGGTCATCTCTGATATGTCTCTGATGTACGGTAGTTTGACTGGTGTGTCTGGCCATGTTTTGTCGTCGTTATGGTCTATCGTGGGAGCCATGGCAGATTGTGCTTTTTGGGTATCCATTGCTTTTTAAAAAACTCCGATTAGGTGCTCCGGTTCTGCTTTGCACAATTCCAAGTTGCCGCAGAGCGTTGTGGCCTGCTTGAATAATGTCCTGATGCAGCTCTGTTTATGGGTGTTGGGGTGGTTGCTGGAATAATTAGGTATCTGGTCCGCATGCGTGGTCTTTCTATATAGGCCGGAGTTTCCTGTGGTTCTTACATTCTACCAATACGTCTAGGAAGGGTAGTTGGTTATTGTCCTCTTCTTTTGTGAATTTTATTCCAGTGAGGATGTTGCTTGTGTGTTGGTGGGTTTCTTCTAGTCTTGTGCGTTTGATAATAACGAAGATGTCATTGACATAGCGGACCCAAAATTTGGGTTGTATTGTGGAGAGCGCTGTTCGTTCTACCTTTGCATTACCGCTTCTGCAATCAGTCCTGATATTGGGGATCCCATTGGTGTTCTGTTGATTTGTTTGAATATATGGTCGTTGAAGGTGAAGTGGGTTGTGAGGCACAGATCCAGCAGTTTCAGGGTGCCTACCTCGATACTGCTGGTGTCGTGGGGTGCCTGCCTTCCTGATTCGTCTAGTTGTGTGACAATTGTCTCTTTTTGGCTAAGTCAATGTTTATGGATGCAAATAGCGCTGTTACGTCGAAGGATATCATTGTCTCGTCCTCTTCTATTCTGGTGTCCTTGATGACCACAGGACTACTCCGACCCCTAGGTATCGGGGTAGCGCACAAACCAACAACCACCCTGCGATAGCTGCTGACAAACATAAAGGATTCCATACCTACAAACAATAAGACTAATGTAACATGCAAAATACTGTGCAAGGACTGAGAGAAACATTACATAGGCCAAACTGGAAGAAAACTGACAGTAGAGGATACACAAACACCAACCAGCCACCAAGAGACAGACCAATTGTCACTGGTCTCAATATACACAGACAGAGAAGGTCACTAATTCGACTGGGACACCACATCCATAAGAGCACACGGCAAACAGAGACATGCCAGGGAATTCCTGGACGCCTAGCATCCCAACCGGAACTCCAACAAACCACTGAAAAACAGAACCGAGAAGTGATGCCAACCATCCCAAGCAAACCGAGGCATAAGCAACAAGCAGGACAAAACATCAACGTTTCACCAGAGGCGCATGGACGACGATACCGAGCAGGGTGATGAAACGTCTGCAATCAAATGCACCGGCTTGGCGAGCAAGTCTATAACCTCATCCACAACCCGAGCTACAAATCTTCTCAAAAACTTTAGATTTTTGATTCCCTAGGGGCTGAAAGATTGTCAGGGGTCTGCAGCAACGTACAACTGAAGTTAAATTCATATCAGCCACAATCTTATTGAATGACGGAACAGGCTCGAAGGGTTGAGTGGACTACTCTTGATCCTTGTTCATGTGTACTTGCTTAAATGTAGTCTTTTCACATCTGCACATCATTTTATTATTGTTTAAAGATCAAGCTAAGAAGAAAAATTATGGTGCCAGAAACATGTACAAATATCCTGTTCTAGACATTTCTATGCAGATAACAGTTGGGTGTCCAAATGCTGGCATCTCTGAAGCGTTGCTATGGAAATGCTGGCATACATTGGAAAGGTATCGTTTGCTGAATTAACCTTTTGAATACTGGAAGATTTTTGCAGCATTTAAAATGTTTAAACGTTCATCTTGCATGCTTTGGCAGCTGGGAACATAATTTTAGCTCTCTAGTTATTACATCACCTAACCAAGGAAAATGAATTTCTCTGTTATTTCAGCTTTTTAATGAAGGTATCTAAAAATATCACTGCTTAGAAAACACCCAGTATTAGCCTGCAAAATACAATTTGTTCTCACTATAAAAATAGCTGCAGTGGACTCTTCGTTGTTCAGAGAAGCAACACCAACACACCAGTTGCTGAGATATCCAAAACTTACAGATGAAATATCAAGGTTAAATAAATACTTTCTAAATAAAGCCATACAAAAGGGCTTACCCTCAAGAATTTGTCCAAAAAGACAGCACGCTCACGAGTCATTTAAAAAAAGTATTATGTCGTGGACCGGCTTTCAAATCAGAGTTGCCACCTTCGCTCCATTTCCAAAGCCAATGAAAAAATGTTCTCATCAAGCCTCAAAGCCTGGACACTGATGGCTGAGATGCTGGGAGCTGAAACTGGATGATGAGTCACATTTCAATGTCTAACCTGAAACATGGCAGAAACAACACTCACCAATGCCAGTCAACTTATGATAAATTGCACTTTAAACTTCTGAATGTTCAGAAAATCTACTCACATGGACATATTTTCAAACAAATTCCCAGAAATAAGGCCGTCTGTAGAATCGTACCCTACAGTATCCTTTAGCGCTGAAAGACCGATAGCTGACAGAGGCCACTAGTCTGAAAGCAAAATAGAAACAAAGCATCTACTAAGCTGTATCTTCACAGACACACACAATGACTTTCATGATGACGTTGACACTGGTCACAAACCAGTCACCAATGCAATAGCATAATATTAATTTGAGCCATCTGGGCCCAGTTCAAAACCAAGATACTTAATTCTACTGTTATTTAGCACCGGTTCCTACTAAATAATCATAGAATAAAATGAACGTATGACAGACTTGCTGAGGAAAGGGAATGTATGCGCTGAAACTCGACAATACTGTCGATCCTTCATCTTAGGCCTCTCAGTCAAATGCAAATGTGCTTACTTCCAACATTGTCTGTAGACAACAAACCTTGTTAACCGACTAAACAGGGTGAGCCAGGTCAGTGCACCTGGATCATGACCATGACTGCCATTTGCTGTTTTCATGCAAAAAAGATGGAAATGCAAAATTTCTATAAGGTTTTAAAAAAATTCTGGAAATTCCATAGTTGAAAATTAAACGTGAATTATTTAACAGATATAAACTAATACCCTAATTATAAATGATGGAATTCAAGAATTATAAAACATATGTTAAAAAGTCCTGAAAAAAATTAAAATGGAACTGACTTCTTCAGAGGCTGTTATACAGCAGTCCTAATCACTGCATATAATTGCCTCATGACCTAAACTTGAACCGTGACTCCAAAATACACGAGCCAGGCAACATCTGTGGTTCAACTTTTAATTCATCAGTTTCAATCTATTGCCTCCATTCTCCTATTGGCACCTGGGAACCTGGTTCAGGATATGGAGAGCTGGTCATCAAATCATGCAAGAATAATTTAGTATTTGACTGAAGCTAACTAGGAAAACTCAAAAGAGGGTAACTTTGTAAATTATAATTAATTTCAGGCTTGAAGAAAAATTATCTAGCAAACTACAACAATGCAGAACAATCGAGGAAATTAGACACTACATCATATCTACACACGGTACATATTTCATACCTATAATTTGATATCAGAGGCATTCAAAATCCTTTTTTAAAATACATTCATTTTTGTGGGATGTGGGCATCACTGGCTGGCAAACATTTATTGCAAGTCCCTAGTTGGCCTTGTGGAGGTGGTGAGCTGCATTCTTGAACCGCTGCAGTCCACCTGCTGTGAATTGACACACGATGACATTAGGGAGGGAATACCAGGACAATAGTGAAGGAATGGTAATATATTTCCAAATCAGGATGATAAGGGAGTTGGAAGGGAACTTGAAGGTGGTAGCGTTCCCATGTATCCGCGGCCCTTGTCCTTCTAGATGGAAGTGGCCGTGGGTTTGGAAGGTGTTGGCTAAGGATCTTTGGCGAATTTCTGCAGTCCATCTTGTAGATAGTACACACTGCTGCTACAGAGTGTTGGTGGTGGTGGGAATGAATGCTTGTGAATTGACTGGCATCACATGATGATCGAGAGTACACCGATGAAGTTGTAAATTGGCTGTGTTGGATTTGTTCTGCTTTTTACATACAAGACAGACCTGGCCAATTTTCCACATTGTCAGGTAATGCCAGTGTTGTAACTGTACTGGAAGAGCTTGGCTAGGGGAGCGACAAGTCCTGGAGCACAAGTTTTCAGTCTTATTGCCAGAATGTTGTCAGGGCCCACAGCTTTTGCAGTATCCAGTGCCTCCAACCATTTCTTGATATCATGTGGAGTGAATCAAATTGGTTGAAGACTCGTATCTGTAACGCTGGGGACCACTGAAGGAGGCCGAGATGGATCATCCACTCATCTCTTCTGGCTGAAGACTGCTGTGAAATCTTCTGCCTTATCTTTTGCACTTATGTACTGAGCTCTTCCGTCATTGAAGATGGGGATACTTGTGGAACCTCTTCCTCCAGTGAGTTGCACAATTGACCACCACCATTCATAACTGAATGTGCAACGCAGTAGAGCTTAGATCGATTCTGATAGTTGTGGATTTGCTTAGCCCTGTCTATCATTTGCTCAGCCCTGTCTATCATTTGCTCACTTATGCTCTTTGGCACGCAAGCAGTCCTGTTTGGTAGCTTCACCAGGCTGACACCTCATTTTCAGGTATGCCTGCTGCTGCTCATGGCATGCCCTCCTGCACTCTACAATAAACTAAGTTTGATCCCCTGGCTTGATGGCAATGGTTGAGTGGTGTGTATGCCGTGCCTTGAGGCTGCAGATTGTGGAGTACAATTCTGCTGCCTTTGATGGCCCATAGCATCTCATGAATGCCCAGTTTTGAGTTGCTAGATCTGTCTGAAGTTTGTCCTATTTAGCATGGTGCTAGTATCACACAACATGATGGAGGTTATTCTCAATGTGAAGTCTCCAAAAGGACCATGCAGCAATCACTCTTACCGATACTCAGTCAGATAGATACACCTGCAGCCAGCAGATTGGTAAGGATGAGGTCAACTATGCTTTTCCCGATAGTTTGTTCCTACACTACTGTTGCAGACCCAGTCTAGCAGCTATATCCTTTACGCTTGATCAGTAGTACTGCTGCCAAGCCACTCTTGGTGGTGGACATTGATATCCCCACCCAGAGTACATGTTGTGCTGTTGCCATTCTCAGTACTTCCTCCGAGGGTTATTCAACATGGAGGAATACTGGTTCATCAGCCAAGGGAGGATGCTACATGGTCATCAGTAGGAGATTTCCCTGCCCATGTTTAACCTGAAGCCAAGAGACTTCATGGGGTCCAGAGTTAATATTGAGGACTCCCAGGGGCAACTCCCTCCCAACTGCATATCACCGTGCTGCCAGTGGGCCTGACATATCCAGGGATGGTGAAGGTGGTGTCTGGGACATTGTAAGCTATGATTCTATGAGTATGACCAGTTAAGTAGGCTGTTGCTTCACTAGTGCGTGAGACAGTTCTCCCAATTTTGGCACTAGCCCCCAGTCGTTAGTAAGGACGACTCTGTAGGGCCGCGAGGGCTTTTTCTGCCATCGTCTTTTCTGGTGCTTAGATCAATGCCAGGTGATCCATCCAGCTCTATTTCATTGAGACTTTGTAGAGATTGGTACAACTCAGTGGCTTGCTAGGTCATTGTAGATAGTAGCTGAGAGTCAACCATATCGCTGTGGTCTGAAGTCACATGTAGGCCACTGCAAGTGAGGATGGCAGATGACATTAGTGAACCAGATGGGTTTTGCCAACAATCCACACGGTCATCAGCAGATTAACTCCAGATTTTCTTTCTATTATTGAATTCAAATTCCACCATCTGCCATGGTGGGATTTGAACCCAGGTCCCAGAATATTGGCTGAATTTCTGAATTAGTAATCTAGCAATAATACCACTCAGCCATCACCTACTCTACACTCCCCTATATTCTTCCATTCTTTTGGAATTAGAATTTAAGCGGTCTAATTATATGTACAAAACACTGTACAGCACAACATACCTCTGGCCAATTTAGAAAACTGGAAAAACAAAAAACTTTTAAATAACGATAAACTGTGTACAGAATATGGCCTACATTATCCTGCACCCCACACAGCAATAGAACTGTTCATTTTTTTTAAATTCATTCATGGGACATACGTGTTGCTGGCCAGACAGCATTTATTGCTCATTCCTAGTTGTCCTCGAGAAGGTGATGGTGAGCATTTGGGAGGGAATTCCAGGATTTTAACCCAGTGACAGGGAAAGAATGGCAATATATTTCTAAGTCAGGTTGGTAAATGGCTTGGAGGGAATTTCAAGGAGGTGGTGTTCCCAGGTATCAGCTGCCTTTGTTTTTCGAGACAGAAGTGGCCATAGTTTGGTGAATTTCTGCAAGCATCCTGCAGATAGTACACACTGTTGCTACTGAGCATCAGAGGTGGATAGAGTAGTTGTTTGTGGATATGGCACCAATCGAGCCGCCTGCTTTGTCCTGGATGCTATCAAGCTTCTTGAGTATTGTTGAAGTTGCACCCATCCAGGTAACTGGGGAGTATTCCTTCACTCCTGACTGGTGCCTTGTAGAGATGATGGACAGGCTTTGGGGAGTCAGGTGGCGAGTCACTTCTTGCAGTATTCCTAGCTTTTGCAACTGTGTTTATGTGGCAAATCCAGCTGAGTTTCTGGTCATTGGAAGCCCCACAAATGTTGACAGTGGGGAATTCAGTGATAGTAACACCCTTGAATGTCAAGGCCAGTGGTTAGAATGCCTCTTATTAGAGATGGCCATTGTCTGGTATTTGCGTGGCACAAATGTTGCTTGCCACTTATTAGCCCAAGCTTGGACACTACAGTTTCTTTTGCATTTGCACATGGACTGACTGCTTCAGTAATTGAAGAGTCGCAAATGGTGCTGAACATTGGTAAATGTCTTCACTTCTGATGTTATGCCAGATGGGAGATTAAAAATGTTACAGCTGGACTGTCAGGAAATTTTAGAATAGAATGCAAATCTTACACAGGAACTCCAAGAACCTTTGAACAGATAAGTTTTGAAGAGTTCTTGAAGGCAAATGCAAGTGGTTTACCAGAATTCCAGAACTCAGTCCCACCTACAGCAGAGATGTGTAATAACACCTGTGAACAAATAATTTTAAAAACTATAGTTGTGAATGGACTGATCCTAATGGCAGGGCAGAATAGGTAGCTAGCTAGCTAGCAGTAATCCAGAGTCAAAGGAATAGAGATTAGTCAAAACCATGTTGGCAAACAAAGATTGAAATATTACCTTCAAAAGGAAATTGATAACTACTTCAAGGAGCAAAAATTATAAGGATGTGGGAAGACAGTTAGGGTTGACAGCTAATTGGATTGATCTCTAAAACAGCTGGTCTGGATAGGCGGATTTTCTGATTAATATGAGAAATTTTCGGAGTAGGCCATTTAGCACTTCCAGTCTGTTCCATCACTCAATTAGCTCACGGCTGATCTTACACTTCAGCTACACACACTGATACTGTAACTTTCTATTTTTTTGGGTATTAAGGGAACCAAGAGGTAATCTCTTTTGTGAGCATACACATTTCCAGTTCTTTGCAGTA